ATTTAACTGCCTACCCAAGCTAGCAGGAATAAATTGCACCGTTGCAGCACCGTACATATTGTTAGATCCTTTACAAACTTTATTGGCCCAGTAGACTTTATCGAGCGTGCCGGCAAAGAGAGTCATCATGACCCACCCTTTAATCTTCAAGCAGCTGACGGCGGGGCGATCGCAACCCTTGGGAGACGGTTTGCCCACCACAACTAGGGTTTGCGTGGACCTATTCACTGTGTTTCCCCCAAGCTAATGTTCCTATGCCCATAATTGGCATAGATTTGCTGAGCCATTACGATCTACTCGTAGATGCTGGTCAGCGACGACTGATAGTTTAACAACATGAAGTCGTCTATTGGTAGCACCACCTACGTAGGCCCGAGTTTAGCCATCGTTAGAACAAACACATCCTGTCAGGTAGTGTTAGAGAAGTATCCAGCGTTACAGCATTTGAAGCATAGTCTTCCGTGCGTAACCAGCAATACATCAAGTCACAACCACAGGTCCACCTGTGACATCCAAACACACCGTCTAGCAGCTAACAAGCTCAAAACGGCGAAAAATGAATTCGACCACATGCTCAAACGGGGCATTATCAGACCGTCGAACAGTCCTTGGACATCACCATTGCACATGGTTCCCAAAAAGGATAGCAACGACTGGCGTCCGACCGGTGATTACCGAAGGCTTAACGCCAAAACAACTCCGGACTGCTACCCGGTACCTCACGTTTACGATTTGACTGCAACCTTATGAGGAATGAACACTTTCTCCAAAATCGATTTGGTCAAAGCGTACAACCAGATACCTATGGAAGCAGAAGATATCGCGAAAACAGCCATTATTACTCCTTTTGGCCTGTTTGAATTCCTGCGCATGCCATTTGGTCTTCGGAATGCAGCACAAACATTCCAACGCTTTATGGATGATGTCTTCCGTGGTTTGATTTTTGTTCATATCTACATCGATGACTGTCTAATTGCGAGTCCAGATAAGGAAACTCACCTCAAACATTTGGACCTCACATTCGAAAGACTTAAAAAACATGGCATCACAGTCAACTTACAGAAGTATGAAATAGGAGTTGAATCACTCAGCTTCCTTGGGTATACCATTGAAAACAAAGGTATACGTCCATTGAGAGACAAAGTGGCGGCTATCACAAACTATCCAGAGCTGACCACTGTAAAACATCTCCGCACTTTCAATGGCCTGGTAAGTTATTACTGAAGGTTTATCCCCAACTGTGCCTCTGTCATGAGACCACTAACAGATTTACTTGGAGGAACTACGAAGTTTGTGACCCTGGATAACGAAGCCAGACTTGCTTTTTCTAAGGTCAAGGAAGCCATTTTGAACGCAACCATGCTTATGCAACACGACCCCAACGCTCCTTTGGGTATTACTGTTGATGCATCTAAACTCAGCAATCAAAGCAGTTTTGCAACAGTCGACTGACAACCAGTGGCGACCTTTAGCCTTCTTTCGAGGTGGCTGCAAGACGCGGATATAAAACAGTACATTTGGTAGGGAACTCCTAGCTATGTACTGTTCTGTGTGCTACTTTTAACACTCTGTGGAAGGTCGTGATTTCATTATTTTCATGGACAGCAAACCGTTGACCTTTTCCCTCAGCCCGGCGTCTGACAAATACTTCCCTCGTGAGTCGCAACAGCTGGATTGCATTTCCTAGTTCACGTCAGACATAGGCCACGTTTCTGGGGCAGATAACTTCGTAGCTGATGCACTATCACGAATAGCTTCGGTAAACCATATCGAGGACGTTGATCTAGTTAAACTAGCTCGGTGTCAAAAGGAAGACCTTGAGCTGCGTCATGAGTTGTCGTCCACATCTCACAAGCTGCGACTGTGTCTGGTTAGATCAGATAAGGATACAATTTTGTGCGATGTCTCTGCTAGTCAACCACACCCAATTGTTCCGAAGAGTTGTCGACGCAACGTCTTCAATACGTTGTAAAAATTGTCCCATCCAGGTGCGCGAGCCACCATTAGGCTTGTTGCACAACGTTTCTGCTGGCCTGGAAAGAAGAAAGACGTTAAGGTGTGGGCTCAGTCATGCTTAGCTTATCAGAAGTGCAAAGTCACGTGACACACGAAAAGCCCTTTAGGTCCTTTTCTAGCCCCAGACACACGTTTCGACCACGCCCATATAGACATTTTAAGACCTCTACCAAAATCCGATGGGGGGGAGTGCTTGCATTTTCACCTGCGTGGATCGTTTCACACGATGGCAGGGAGCAGTACCTATTAAGGATGTTACTGCTGAAACAGTGGCTCCTGTTTTCGTCGAAAGATGGATCGCGAACTCTGGATTCCGTCTTACGTAACAACCGACCGTGGGCGCCATTTCGAGTGTGGATTATTTCACACTCCGACGGCACTTTTAGGTTGCACCCGGTTCCGAACGACAGCCTACCATCCATCCATTGAAAGCTGACGCTAGATGGACCTCTGCAGAACTCGTCTATGGAACTACTCTTTGCCTACCAGGTGAGTTTTTTTCACCTTCAACTTTCAAACATGTTTTGACAGATCTTACGCGACTAGGCTTACAAACTCAATTCGTTCAGTTAGGCCTACTCCTATTAGACTTCAAACAACTGATATCTTCGTTCACCCCGTTTTACAGAAGACACCACACGTGTTCATTCGTCACGACGCCGCTCATCGACCACTTGAACCACCATTCAAAGTGATCAAGCGACATGAGGAATTCTATATAATCGAGCGAAACAAATGTGAAGATACTATTAGTGTCGACCGTTTGAAACCCGCTTATTCCAAAGGCAACGCCATCATAAGTGACGTTTCAGCTCACCATTGCTGACCCATGAATAGCCCAATCATCGGAATTCTTGACGATGTGCCTGGTAATACAAAGATGCAACCACCGGCGCAACAAAAACAGAATCAGGTCGAACTGTCAGGTTCTCGGAATATCCAACGACATATTCAACTAAGTAATGCGAGTTAAAGTGTGCCAACCATTTTTAAATTCAAAATTTTCGAGGCACCGTTATATCTTTTTTACAGGGAATGCAAAACGTTTCCTACATTTTACCTTTTTGGTACTAATTTTTACTACCACGAAATTATACTTTTTCAAAAACAAAATGGGGATGAGCATAAAATTTATTTTCGACATATTTATTTTCAAGTGTTTTCCATTTTTACAAACGTTTTTGTGGTGCTGAAGACTTTTATTTATATTCCAGGTGCAACGAGCACAGAATGAAACGTCAAAGGACACTGGATAGCAACCGATGTATAAATTGAATTATTGTATTTCATTTCTCATTCGCCACGACACTGTAGAATAAGTTCAGACAACCAGGGGCCACTTCTTGCAATGAGCCCACCGGAAGTTTTACCAGTGGAGAAATCACTGGGTTTATAATTCCGGCTGGTATTGTCTTAGGGTCCCCACGAACTCACTAGGGGGGAGTGATCTGCAGCGTCACACTTCTCCCGAATCAATAGCCTGGGGTCCGACGAGATTCAGCATTGATGCTGACCTTCATAGTCTCATCGGACTCGCTAAACTGAAGGCAACCGGTCAAGCATCCACGCCATTCGGCACGCTGTCGTGTTGCATTGCACTGCTCGTAATCGACTCTCTAGCCAGTTAGTTAGAACCCACCGATATCTTGGCACGACCTCGCAAATATACTATTCCATCTGACTACACTATTGTTTTTTCTTGGTCTCATATTCGTGAGTATGTAACAAGCACGAATAATCAGTGGTTGGCCACTGCATCTGTCAAGTTCGTACCGGAACAATTACCAAAATATTTCTAACCATAACTTATAGTTTGAGTAAATGACTAAAGATATGTGTACCAAATGTACATATGAGGCTTCTGAATATCAGTCTTTAGATCTGATAAACTTCTTAGAAGTATTCTTTAAATAACTTAAGAATGCAATACGGTCCAATATATCGGAGGTGGTAGTGACACAGAAAGTTACTTTTGACCTACAATACATGTGACGCAGTTCAAATATATTTTGAAAGGAAAGCGCATGACTAATCTGAATCAAGTTACGTACACAACTGTAAATCACACTATTCGCTAGAGTGATGCAGTAGGAGAAAATTGTGTACACGACTTGCTACGGACCAGTCCCATCTATTTTTGCGGATACTGTGTGATGGACTTTAATATTTCTAATCCGTTACGTAGATTGTTGTTTCAACGACCTAGTACAGGCTAATTGTATGTTATTATCCATATTTATAATTCCAGTGAGTAAATGCACACAACGCATTTATCTTTGGTCTATAATTGATTCGTTTCGATATGGTAGACTTCATAATCCTCAGGCTTTCTTCCTGATTTGTACCAACAGTGTGTCTAGACTTTTTGTCTTCTAAGCATAGGTTAGGCAGTTTTTTCCCTGAAGTGCTCATTAAAAATCCAACCAGTTTCAAAGTTCACAGTAATTGGTTCCATGCTAACCATAATGAGATATCGTCAGCCACTATCTCACTAGACAGATAGATGCAGTCATCAGTACGCGAAACCCCATCATGCCTTAGTGTCAACTAGGTGTCACCTTAGAAATAATGCACACTTCCACAAATGACAGATCAATATTCAGTGCACAAACTACGACTTTTTCTACTGTCTACACTCTCCTAGTCTACTGAAGAACACAAAGCAAGTGTGAATCAGGGAGCAGAAACAAGACGCTTTACCTTCAAAACGAAGAACAAATAAAGTCAAACTGTCAAGTATGTGAAGCAAAGATTTCGTTTTTTATTCTTCCGTTTCTGTTATATACATACATTGTTACCACAAAAGGCATTTACTCAGTTCAAAAGTCTTTTGGACAGAAAACAGAAATTTTATTGGAATTCAAAACAATATGGCAACTAAGCACTAATTATACAACTCATACAATTTCAAAATAACTACTTTCAGACAATTTGATGGTTTGTGAAAATAAAACACACTGATACTCATGAAAACTAATTATAATCTACAAAGTATGGTGCAGGGAAGTGGAAATACTGAATAGTGAGTCCGGTTTTGTTTGAGAAATAGATTGAACAGGTGAATATCGCCATAAAGCAGGTGATGTAATCTGAAAAACATCAATGAATACCGAGAAAACACAAAAATGAGAATATTCAGTCTAGGTTCGGATGGCATGTCAGGCCTTATATTCATGAAGTGTGCTGATACCTTATGCCACCCATCAACTAACATCTTCAATAGATCGCGTTGAGAAAACACTATACCAGATGCCTGGAAAGATATTACGATAGTCTTCCTACCTGAGTCACTTACTCCAGGTGCATGTCTGAAATTCCGTCCGATTGCAGTTACTTCTCCATTCTTGAAAATAATGAAGAAGCTAATAATATCTGTGCCCAAACCCTCACCTAAGGTTTTTGGAGATCCTAATCAGTTTGTATATAAAAGCAAAAGAAGTACTCTGGATGCCATCACGTATCACTATATTGCTTATAATCTTGATAGAAATGCCAAGTGTGTTAGGTGTACACCATACTTCAGCACTTGATTCTGTCCTAAGACTTCTTTTGCTGGACAAGCTAGCAGGGACAAATACTGGGTCTCGGACAGTCAGTTGGCTCTGTTCCTATTTTTCTGAAAGGAAACAATCAACTGTTCAGAGGGAAGCGCTCCATCTTATTGCTCAATGTGACTGGTGTTCCCAGGAGGTGACATTTCTCCCCCCTGTCTTTTCTCTTTCTTTCTGGACCACTTACCATCTAAAGCTGGTATCAATTTTTTCAAATATGCTGATGACCTGAGAGTTTCCATACGTGTATTCTCTCTAAAAAATTGTTCCCAACTGAATGATTTCCTATCCACTGTTAGATGATGCTCCCCCCCCCCCGCCGTGAATGGTCTTGTGTTTTATTGGTCAAAATGTCAGACCATAAACGTTAGTTTTAGACGTGAATATAACCTATATAAACTGCTTAGGTCTCATGATTCCTGTTCTATTGATGGGTGTGCACTAAAGAATGTTACAAGTGTGATTTATCTCGGTGTGTTTTTCTTCTTATCCTTCTTGGTCTTACCATTTCTTACTACTCTTGAAAAGAATTTTCCGTTCAACTTTCTATATTGGGAAGCTAAGAGTATCCGGTATAACTCAGCCTCTTCTTTTGCGCTTTATAAACTCCTGCATATTGCTTATTCTTCTCCGTCGTTTTCCTTGATTCTTCCCTTGTTTGCTGTAAAAAGACTATGCTGAACTGTGTAGAACTTTAAAGACTGTCAGCAGGACTAGTGGTGTACTTCGAATTTAGAATTGTTGTGAACAAACATTAATTCATGTAAACATTTGGCAGCACTTTTTTTACCCGATGATCAGCATCCTCGTCGCTCAAAGCTCATTGCGTGCAAGACCATGATCAAGTATATAAAACTTAATGCACGTACTACTAAATATAAAAACTCTACAATGCCAATTAGCTCGTCTCCCGTGAGACGAAAATAGTATTAGAAATGAACTGATTAAATGGCCTTTGTTTTTGAAAGTAAGCTAATTAAAGAATACACAACTTGCTATTATTTATCTAGGTAAACTGCATCATCAAGAAAGTTGTAGATGGAGTAAACATTCTTATCTTTTATATGTAATTTATACTTATTTCATTTTGTTACGTGTACGTGTACATTATTTCTTTCCAATTTATGCTATATGACATGGTGGATATTCTGTAGAGTATTCCCGAAATAAAGCCGGTATTATTTTTTATTGAAATTTTACCAGTCCAGATAACGGAAATTACTAGTCAGAGTGCGACTACAGAAGTTACCTAGGTTATCCGTGAGACGAGTACACTCCTTTTCTCATTTTGCCTTCCTTGACAAATGCGAACGGTATGTCTCTCAGTTTCACAAACAGCTCCGTCGAGTTTATACTGAAGCTTTCGAAATCTAAATCCCTCATTGCAAAGAAAGATACGTCACAATAAACAAAACTGTGACAAACTCAGATACGTGTCATGTTTCTATGACATATTGTACCCAAGTGTAATCAACCAACGGACTTCACTACATCAATTTACACGACCATCTACTTTTACACATATACACTGCTACTCAGATGATATGAAAGATACCAACAATTTGTTTGCATGGTGAAAATTTTCAAACACTCAGGTATTAGAAAATGACTCAAATGCTGAGACGGAAAAGTTACATCAAACAATAAGACATAATCAATCATCTTGGTTTCACGTTGAAATAAAATCAGTACTTGTACTCAACAATTTAATCTGACAAGTTGTGGTGGCTTCAAACAAGGGCACAGATTTGTTTCACCTGCAAACAAAAGGCATCCAGTTAGTTCGTCTAACCTACTTCATAAAGGTATAAATGTTGGCTGAGACTCAGGTTTGACTAAGTGTAAGGAAAACAAGACAAAAAGATCCTTTAACTTTGTTTTGAAGATAAAAAAACCAAGTCTTTAGTGAAAGAGGGAATAAACAGACATTCCTCCGAATGTAACGGCGGTTTTTACTCTGAGATAACCTGGTGGTATGTCCACTCTGCTGAGGAAACATTGATAAATGTTGTACATGATTTGTAACCAGAGACAATTCAGGTATTTTAAAAGTTAGTTGATCACCAAAAACTCATCCCACCTGGTTTCAAAATTCATTTTTGACGTTCTTGCAAACACCATGAGTAGTGGATCACGGTGAAAGTGAAGCAGATGGAGGAATGGACATTGCTTAGCAGCCTAAGGTTACTTATATGTATAAGACAAAGAGAAAAATAGTTTACTCACCTCTGAAAGCGCTTTATACACCAACCAATAAGCATCAACCGAACTAGAAGTCGATATCCAAAGTCTTAGCTCCAGTAAATCTGAAGCAGAGTAAAATCGTATGCCAAAAGGTGTTCAGTTATTATCCGAAGTAAATGATAAATTAACTGATACTATCACCAGAACAGTTGCAAACTTGGATCGTCACAATTCATTAAAAAAAGTCGGAAGAAGAAGAATGTGACTCACCAACCACACATACTAAAAAAATGAGTACTACCTATTATATGAGGGTGTATACTTCGGGTAATAATGGTTGAGTTTAAGCCAACAAGCCACCGATTATAAGCCCAGTACCTACACCGGTGAGCCAGAAGCTCATACAAGAAAGGAAGGACATCTTGTGATGAACAGAAAGACAGGCTTCAACAACATGTTATGTATATCCTACGGTGCAATATCACTTGACACATAAACGGAGATCAAGGTCTAATGAAAAGGAATCGGTAAAATCTGTACGTTTTGCAAGCATTTGAAAGGAAAATCCGGAACTGTTAACCAGGTCCTCAAAAGTATTGAACCTTAATTCTAAGGATAGAAAGAAAAATTGGTGAATACTCAAACTAATCCACTTATTCGAAAAGTTTCATTACATCCACCGGACATTACCTTGACGAAATACCAGTGTGGACAGAAACAGTTGTTTCCTGCATGAATGAAGGTTAATCATTTTATGGTACGAAAATGCGTATGCTAAGATGTCATCAAGAATGTTGTTGACTGGTTTGTTAGGATTTCCTCATTTTTAATAACAACATATATATCATGTAGGTATTGGACCAAAAGTTCTGATTTAACCCATGATAAGATAATCTGCTGCAATTATTCTAAATAAAATTGATTTCATTGTTGTTCATTTTGTCTGTTTGTACAGGTGGCCATTGAATTAGAAATAAATTCCATCACAACTGAACATTGTGATTTAGTACGCTCTGAGATATATATGATTGACCCGGAGAAGAATGTATTTTTAGTTAATTTCAGTTCGACTGTGACGTATAGAGTTGTAACGTCAAAAGGCACCATCAATTTCTGTTTCTCTGGTAAGATAATGTATCCACTGTATGAATACTCCGACAAAATATTTGAAGAAAAATAAGAATATTCATACTAGCTACAACGAACTGATGGTTTCCTTTGGCGATACAACTCAATACACCTAAACATGAACTTCACAACTGAAGAGATAGCAAATAATAAATCACCATTTATTAAATTTTCTGATCAAAAACGATCAAAAAAATTTGGAAAGTCAAGTGTAGAGAAAATTACTTTACAGTGATCAACCCCTCAACTACTGTAACAATACAAAAATCAGCAGCATACAGATATTATTAAAAAAAGCGAAACCACACTGTGGTGCATTAATTTTAAGAAGGGAAGAAATTCATTTCATGACTGTCTTTCAGTAGAACGGTTATACATGCAATTTCACTAAAATATATTTGTCCAATTCACTTTCAAAGTCATCTCTCAAGATGAACAAACGGAATGTTCTACCGAACATGAAGGCTTTAGAAACCCCTGTACCTGAAATGCCTATACAATATCTTTACTCCTTGGTATGCAGACCAAATGATACACTAGTAAAGGAAGACAAGTGCAATGTTATCTACAAAACTGCAGAATTTTAAAAACAATCATATCAGACATGAAAACCAACTAAAAGTAAAGCACCATGACATATATTCGCTCATATCAATGCATTTAGATAATTACAGATATGAGTTTAACTGGAAAAAGTGCATGTTTCGGATAGAAGAAACAAAGAATGTCACGGAATTTTTGAAAGCCTAATGATACTCAGTAATCATTAGGCATGTTGACACCGACCCAACTTATCAACTAATTAGAAACATGAAAAACAACAAGAATATGGTTTAAATCAGCAAAACAACCATTTGAAGTAAGTGTGCAGATAGTGACATCATAACAGAAACAACCAATAGCACACAAGGTCATTAGGACAAACCAACAAGCCAATTGCGGAGAAATTCTCATAAATCATTTCTTTGTCAAAACCTCGCCTGGTTAACTAGTTCACTAGTTACTAACCCCTCCTAAGAGCGGGTAAAGAGGGAAGGTTGGGCACAGGGCTAGCAACCCTACCCCGGAAAACAAATCTAACCGCTAAACGAACTTCAAAGCACAAACAATATATAAAAAATAAAAACAAAATTATTCCTCGCTGGAATCGGAGAGGCAAAATAACGCCACTTGGTGAAAGCCTTCGGGAAGCCAATTGACCGACGTGTCTTCTCTCAACCGATGAAAGCGAAAGTAAACGTGGGGACATGGAATATCCGCACGATGTTTGAACCCAACAAGGTAGACCAGATTGCAAAGGAGATGAGAAGGTATCACATTGAAGTGCTTGGGATTTGCGAAAGCAGATGGAATGGGAGTGGACTCTCCAAACTGTCAACTGGAGAATCAATAATCTACTCCACCATTGTCACCCAGACGACAACCACGAGCACAGCACACTGAGTTTTGGAGTGGCTACCATGATGTCTCCAACACCATCGAAGGCTCTCATGCACTGGGAACCAATCTCCTCCAGGATCCGGATCATGACAGCAAGCTTCAACTCAAAAGGAAGGAAGGAAGGTCACAATCATACAATGCTACTCCACGCACCTACAAATAATGCAGAGCAAGAGAAAAAGGAGGAATTCTACAGACAACTTCAATCAACACTGGACAAGACCCCTCCCTAGTTGGCGACATCAAAATTCTAATGGGCGACATGAATGCCAAACTGGGAGCAGACAACACAGGAAGAGAACTAACCATGGGTCGAGAAGCGCTCGGTGAGGTGATGAACGAGAATGGAGAATTGTTTGCAGAATTCTGCGCATTCAACGATTTGGTGATTGGAGTCAGGCAGTGTGTTCAAGCACAAGGATATCCACAAGTCAGCGACATGGATTTCACCAGATGGACACACTAAAAATCAGATCGATTTTATCTCAATCTCAAGAAAATGGAGATGCAGTCTACTTGACACAAGGTCAAGAAGAGGAGCAGATGTAGGTTCACACCACTCACTATCTAGTGCAAGGAACCTAACTTCCAAATCAAGTTAAAAGCCTTCAAGGAAGCTGGTGATAGACCTCAATTCAAGTACAACACTCGGAAACTGAAGGATGAAACTACAAATGAGATCTTCAAGGCAGCGATCAAGACTAAGTGGGAGATATCGAGGAACATCCCTGAAGAAACCTGTGTGGAAAAACACTGGAAGTCTTTGAAAGAGATGTGGGAAGAAACCTGCACAGCCGTATCAGGAAGGAAGAAGAAAGAAGATAAGGAATGGATCTCGACGGATACCTGGAAGCTGATCGAGCAGGGAGAGGAGGATGGTAAAGCAGAAGATAAACCAGTGCAAGGATGCTCAACGACAAGAGGAACTGAGCACAATGTATAAAACACTACACGGGACAAAGAAGTGAAGAAGAGTGCATGCGAAGAAAAAAACACTTCTACGAAACTCTGGCAAGTGAAGCAGAACAGGCTGCTGGTAAGAGAGACAGAGACCTGACAACATTGTATCAAATAACCAGGTTGCTATCTGGGAAGAGACCAACACAGATGAAACCAATAAAAGATGAAGAAGGAAATTTAATTACGAAAGAAGAGAAACAAAGGAAACAATGGGCCGACCACTTCAAGAAGCTCTTGAATCCACCACCACCACCACCACTGCACTTCGTCCAGAAATACCACCAACAGCCCAGCCGCTGAACAACTACAAGTGAACATAAATCCTCCAACAAAAGTCGAAGTCCTGAACGCCATAAAGTTACTGAAATGCGGGAAAGTAGCAGGACCAGATGGGATCCCACCAGAAGCACTGAAAACAGACACAGAGACAACAGCGGACATGCTCACACCACACCATTATTGCAGAAGGTGTGGAAGGAAGAGAAGGTACCTGCCCATTGATCGGAAGAAGGGTTACCTTGTCAAACTCCCGAAGAAGGGAGACCTCAGTATTTGCAAGAACTGGAGCGGAATCACTCTCCTGTCCACCCAATGCAAGCAAAATATTAAGCCGCATCACATCCTGGAGAGGCTAAAGGATGCGCTAGATTCAAAACTACGACCGGAACAGGCAGGCTTCAGGAAGTACAAATCATGTGCCGACCAAATTGCAACGCTACACTACGCATCATCATAGAACAGAGTATAGAATGGCAGTCAACTCTCTACCTTACCTCAACTTCATCGACTTTGAGAAGGCCTTTGACAGCGTCGACCGAGAGGTAATTTGGAAACTGCTTCAATACTACGGAGTACCGCAAACCTTTATCCGCCTCATTCAACAACTATATGAAGATGCCACATGCCAGCCAAGTAATTCACAATGGAAAGCTCAGTGATGCTTTCGAAGTGAAGACAGGAGTGAAACAAGGTTGCCGCCTACTATCCCCCATGATATTCCTGATTGTGGTGGACTGGATCATGCAGCAAACAGTGAGCAGCGAGAAGAGGGGGATACGCTGGCTGGACTGGGGAAAAGAACCTAGAAGATCTGGATTTCGTCGATGACTTGTGTCTGATGTCACATAAACTTGAAGATCTACAGGCGAAAACTAACAAGTTGATAGAAGAGGCAGGGCAGCGAAGACGGGACTTCAAGTGAATATAGAGAAGACAGAAGTGATGAAGATACCGTACCAGCAACTCCAACAACAACAACAAACTCCAATCACCGTCAACGGGAGAAACTTAAAGGAAGTAACCTCCTTCACCTATCTAGGCAGCACTGTTTCAACTACAGGTAGCGGCACAGACGAAGGTGTCAAAGTCAGAATCGGAAAAGCAAGACAGGCGTTCATTAGCCTGAAACCAATGTGGAGATCTTCTGCACTCAGCATGTGGAACAAGATCCGGATTTTCAACACCAACGTCAAGTTAGTGCTCCTGTATGGTTCAGAGACTTGGCGCGTCACGAAAGGGATTTCCAATAAACTACAAACATTCATCAACAACTGCTTACGCTCGCTACTGAAGATCAGATGGCCAGAATAATAAGAATAAGCAACAAGGAACTCTGGCCTGCCAACGAACCAACCAAGAACCTATCACCCAACAAATATGCAGAAGGAAGTGAAGATGGATTGGGCATACATTGAGAAGGCCGACTGGGGACATCACGCGTCAGGCCCTCGAGTGGAACCCCCATGGGAAGCGACGAGTTGGGCGTCCCAGATGAGGGTGACATGGAGGAGGTCGTGCGAGGAGGGAATGAGAGCTTCTGGGCTGTCGTGGAACCAGGTTCAAAAGATTTCAGAGGACAGAGTTAACTGGAGACGTGCTACTGAAGCCCTATGTTCCACTAGGAACCCAAGGGAATAATAATAATAATAATAATAATAATAATAATAATAATAATAATAATTTCTTTTTGAAACCTTTTGATAAACTCTTTAGATGTATTTGAGCATAATGTTATGTACGTTACTTAAAACAGGTGAAAAGAGTTCCCTGTTTATAACCACGGTTTGACATATTCAACAGAAATGGTCCAATGATGTGAGTATTACGAAAGATGGAAAGCCGGTCACGTAAATTGTGAGTAATTGAATGATTTCAAGGTTATTTTTACCATGACTTGACAGCAAAAATGATGAGAATGAAGATATATGCCTATCGGTGATATGGGGTGATAATCACAGCCCACTGTCAATCGAAGAAATTGAGAACAGAGTGTTTATAATGAGATCTGAAAACCAATAGGTACGGACCCAATTAAGGATGTCGATGTGAACTGCTAGGCAGTTTCGAATTGAGACGATACGACTAATTGATATCAATCAGCGGTGAAAACTAATTTGGAAGGTAAAATAGCTAGAAAATCATACTGCGAAAAGTACTGCAAATAATATTGAGTACACAGATGCGTCTAACCAGTGTAACTGTCTGATTTTTGGTGCTCAGTTAAGATCGAAGTCTATGTATCAAGTTTGCAAAATGTTCACTGAACTATGTGGCGCAATACTGTTATGGACTACATTTTGGTGTTAGATGTAGGGAGTCAACCAGCAGCAAACAGTGAACTCAAGTTTCATGCCTGTTGACACTCATTAGCAAGGTGTATTTGTAACCATGATGGAAGTGTAGTCTTTTAAAATATTCCTGTTGGTGAGTGACAACAAGCACGAAACTTACATTCAGAGCTTCTTATCAAGTGACTCCTAACATCCAATCTTATCAGTGATAGATATGAGCCTTAGCATTTGATAGATAAATCATAAATATCTCCCCTCAAAATGAGACTAGTCTATATCGATGAAAGGCTCATCGAATAACAAATCACACTCAGAGCTTCAGCAACCTATATGTTTGACTCCATTTCCAGTTTGGTTTTCTGATAGTGCGCAGTAATATTGACAAAATCTTCATCATAAGGCATATAATCCTGAAGCCTATTACAACCAATCGTTTCGTTCCGAGGTTTCGAGAGAAAGCACGTGAACCGATCCGTAAATATCAGATCGGTTGAAGAGATAAAAATTAATGGGCCATTCAGGTCTAGAAATAGCCAGGGCCACTGTTAATATATATATAAACCATTGTTTCTTGTGTAACTTTTTGACGTTGCAATACACGTTATGTTACTTTACCGTCTTTTCCATTTATTGGGAAACCGAGCAATCATCAACGGGTGGAATCTCGTTATTGAAGTATATATATATATATATATATATATATATATATATATATATATATATATATTCGTATATTTTCATAAAAATAGGGGACGGTATGAGATAATAGTTAGACAAAATAAACTTGAGGAATTTCGAAAATTTAGTTTAAATCGTGCAATGTTAAAATTCGACCTCTTTCCATATATGGCACAGAATATAATTTAAGAAGCTTTTCAGCTAAAAAGATAACAAAACATAGCAGTCTTCATCATTTAAAACATTACTTTTCCGAAACTTTGAATGCACGAATGGAACTGTGAATATTCCAATTATAATCGTTCAAAAGAAATCAATAAACAGACTTTATACACAACAAAGTTCAGTAAAACATACTTACTGCTACTACTCTGAGCCTTCGTTACGTAATTTCTCTCGTTGTACACTTCTCAAATAACTAATACAATTTCAATGTAAGTAGAAAGTAACAAGTTTACCTAGCTTGATAATGATGATTATATATTTACTTGAAAATATTAATGCTTATATGATGAAGCATTGAATCAACGAAACAACTAACCAAATTGTGAATAAAAGTAACTCATAGTACCAGAGATGAAGAATGTAATAAAGTAGTCGGTAAGCGAAATGATAAACTTCATGAAACTGTAAACTTGTGGCATAAACGTTATCGTACGAACGATGATGGGAAGTAGTGATTCAGAATTTGATAATAATCAGTAAGGAAACAAAGAACTTTTCAGCAAAAATAATTCCTTTCAATGACTTTAGTTAAAAAAATTGGTTACCTTTATTAACATTGATAAAACAATAGGAAGACGTAATCTGTCTTGATTTTGAGATTTATTTGCGCAACAAATTTCGAACAGTCTGATCACACACGTACATATCCACATGAAAAGTTTAATATGAGAGTAAGGAGTGAAAATACGAAAAGGGGTCAAGTAGGAAGGTTGAATTGAAGTCCAAAATAACGATGCATATCAATAGAGAAAAAGTAATAGTACATCAGACTTGCGTCCGCGAGTACATTAATTATGAGTAACATGCTATTTGTGCACAATTGCCTAATAAACACCGATCGACTGTTTTTCCATTGGTTGGAGCTGTAAGTTGCCATTCAACCTAATTGAACTTGTCATTTCCACCTTTTGCTAACTGTATCTTGTACATTGTTTGCTGTTATGTCACCTCGAATTTAAGTTTCTCAATTTACATATTAACTATTATTGAAATGTTGAACCACCAATTACAGCTACGATAAAACCTGACAGCTTCTTCAGGCAATGCTTGCAGCATGCACACTTTTTAAGATCAACCTCTTTCTTTAATGACCTTTCCTGTGATTTGTTCTCTTCGCAATATCTATCCTCTGCCCATAATCACGTAGGCACTTTGTAGAGTAATTGAGTGGACGTCCAATGCAGCAGCAGCAGGAATTGTTTACAGGAAAAATACAATCACTATGGACCATAGAATGAAATCCTACAATCCAGGCACATTTGAAAACATTCTTCTTCTTGGCATCCCAGTATATAATGTTCTTAGGTTCTATATTACTACTCGACATCGTGTCTTTCTCCCACTCGAATCTTCATCAGTCGACCGTCATCGCTCCTTGAGTTTTCCCATGTTACATCATGTACTACTAGTGTACATTCGTATATGTAGCGTCACCAGACAACTAACCGGTTGACTAAGCATAAGTAAACCAATATAGCTTCAAAATAAAATCCTAGAAAAGAATTTTTTTGCAGAAAAACCTTTCACCTCCTTGTTGCATGTTTTGATATTCCTCTTTACAAATAATGGTGGTTTGTCTGAAAACTAATCGAGAACTGACCAAACGCTAACTTGGACAAAAATAATTGGGATGATGCTTCAATAGAACTCATTTGCATCCTTTTAGGCCTTATATCATTTTGTTCTCAAGGACTTATTAAACTTGCTGTCACCTTTATATCTCTTGTTTATGCCATCATTTGTCACGCAACGTGATTCATAAAACACTAACGCTTACAGTTAGCCCGAATAGGTAATATATCCGCTAAAAATTCACATGAAATGTCACACAAACAGACAAAACCAAGGTAGAACCTTGCACAAAAGTGTATCGGTTCAAGCTGCAACACCTAAAAGCATCCAAACAATAAATAGACAGGAAAAGACTGATATCAAAAAAGGAAAAGTGTACAGGGGGCGGCAGAGTTTGAAAAAAGGCTGGTGAAAATGTTCAAGCATTGGAAGACGTCAAAAAGTGAATACATCTGCGCCATCGTGAACGATTTCCACACATGTCACTAAGATTCTGCAATCATTGATTCTTATAGTCTCCCGGACCTCAGCCAGACAGTCTATACCTCCCTACACTAGTCAGACCAACAGTTAGAGACTTCATCAACTGGTGCCATGTTTTTGTCTGGTCACCCTGAACCTTTTTTCAATATGATCCAACTTCCCCTAGAGTTGCACAATAAGGTACGCAGTGGTTCGGCTTGAGAAACAAGTTCAAGACACCTCAGTAGATAAATGTCCACAACCACATCTATTGAATTGCCTTCCTTCTCCAGAACCCTTCGCGCGTATTCGACATTGCGCACATGGTGTTGCCACCATAGGCTAACAGCGCTACGAAGACACACATGGTTGAAAACGCGTAGTTTCTTAATGTCTCCAACATGAAACGGACATGTTTCACAGCCGTAAAACAGGACAGAACGGACAGCAGGGAAGTACACTAAACCTTTAACAGGTAGCCGAATATTTCATTAGACACCATTATGGATGGCTAACCTCTCCCGGTTAACTACTTCACTAGTTACTAGCCGGTCCTAAGCCAGGATAAAGAGAGAAGGTTGGGCATAGGGCTGGCAACCCTACCTCGTAAAACTGATTCAATCACTAAAAAGACTTCAAATCACAAAGAAAATATAAAAAATAAAAATAAACTTATTGCTCGCTGGAATCAGAGAGACAAAATGACACCAGTTGGTGAAAGCCTTCAGGAAGCCAACTGGCCGATGTGTCTTCTCTTCAATTAGTGAAACCGAAAGTAAACATACGGACGTGGAATGCCTACACAATGTTTGAAGCTGGATGGCAAGGTTGCCCAGATTGCAAAAGAGATGACAAGGTATGGCATGGAAGTGCTAGGCTAAGAATCTGCAGAAGCACATGGAGTGGAAGTGAACTCTCCAAACTGTCAACTGGAGAGTCAATGATAAACTTCTCCGATATTGTCACCCAGACAACAAACACGAGCACAGCACACTGAGTTTTGGAGTGGCTACCATGATGTCTCCAACACCATCGAAGGCTCTCATGCACTGGGAACCAATCTCCTCCAGGATCCGGATCATGACAGCAAGGTTCAACTCAAATGGAAGGAAAGTCACAATCACACAATGCTACACTACGCACCTACAAATAATGCTGATCAAGAAAAGGAGGAATTCTACAGACAACTGCAATCAGTAATGAACAAGGCCCCGCTCCAGTTGGCGACATCAAAATTCATTCTAATGGGTGAGGTGACATGAACGTCAAGGTGAGAGCGGAAAACACAGAAAGAGAACTGATCATAGGTAGAGAAGCACCCAGTGAAATGATGAACGAGAATGAAGAACTGTTTGCAAATTTCTGCGCATTCAACGATTTCGTGATTCCAGGCAGTGTGTACAAATACAAAGATATTCACAAAGCCACATAGATTTGATCTCACCAGATGGATGCACCACACTAAATATCAGATCGAATTAGTCTCAATCTGTGAAGAAAGTGGAGATGGAGAGGCAGCCTACTGGACACAAGATCAGATCAAAAAGGGGAGCAGATGTAGGTTCACACCACTCACCATCTACTGCAAGCAACCTACCTTCAAAATCAAGTTGAAAGCCTTCAAAGAAGTTGGTGATACACCACACTTCAAGTTCAACACACAGAACAGAAACCGCACTGAAGGACAAAACTACAAAAGAAATCTTAACGTCAGCAATCAAGAAAAGAAAAGATGGGAGATATTGGGCAACATTCATGAGGAAACCTGTGTGGAAGAACACTGGAAGTCTTTGAAAGAGATGTGGAAAGAAACCTGCATAAGCGTATTAGGAAGGAAGAAGAAGCAAGACAAGGAATGGATATCCACGGACACATGGAAGCTGATAGATGAGGTAGAGGAAGATGGTGAAGCAGAAGATAAACCAGTGCAATGCAGTCCAGGGATGAACAACGAAAAGAGGAATTGAACGCAACCTATAAAAATACTGCACTGGACAAAGAAGTGAAGAAGAGTTCGTGGAAGGACAAAATACACTTCTATGACACACTGACAAGTGAGGCAGAACAGGCTGCTGGTAAGAGAGACAGAGACCTGACAACATTATACCAAATAACCAGAGTACCACCTGGGAAGACATCTACGCAGATGAGACCAATGAGAGATAGTGAAGGAAACCTAGTCGCCAAAGAGAGGAAACAAAGGAAACAATGGGCTGACCACTTCAGAAAACTCTTGAATCGAGCACCATCTGCAACTCGTCCAGAAATACCTACGGCAATCGCAGAATTACCAGTGAACACAAGCCCTAAGACAAAAGCAGAAGTGAAGTCCTGAAAGCCATAGTTACTGAAATCCGGAAAAGCAGCAGGACCACTTAGAATTTCTCCAGGAGCACTGAAAACAAGCTAAGAGACAACAGCGGATGATGATTAATGTCTAATGTCTTGTCGCACAAACTCAAAGATCTACAGACAAAAACCAACAAGTTGGCAGAAGAGATGAGGCAGCGAAGACAGGACTTCAGGTGAACATAGAGAAGACAGGAGTGATGAAGATACTAAACTAACAACAACATCGAAAACAAGAGGCAGTAATCACCATCAACGAGAGATTCCTAAAGGAAGAAGTCTTTCACCTACCTGGGCAGCATCCTTCCAACTACAGACGACGGCACGGATGATGACGTCAAAGGCAGGATCGGAAAAGCAAGACAGACCTTCCTGCATTAACCTGAAATCAGTGTGGAGATCTACACAAAGCACACAGCACAAAGTGTGAACAACATCCGGATTTTCAATACTATATTAAGTCAGTCCTTCTATATGGTTCAGAGACTTGGGGCGCTACGAAAAGCATCCCCAACAGACTACACACATTCATCAACAACTGTCTACACTCCATACTAAAGATCAGATGACCAGAAAAAGTTAGCAACAAGGAACTCTGGCCTGGCAACGAACCAACCAACAACCCATCGCCCAACAAATATACAGAAGAAAGTTGAGATGGATTGGGCATGCACTCAGAAGACCATTTGGGGACATCACGCGCCAGACCAGTCCTTCGAGTGGAACACGCATGAGGAACAATGAGTTGCGCATCCGAAGGTGATATGAGATCGTGTGAGGAAGAAATGAAAGCTTGTCGGCAGTCGTGGAATCAGGTTCAAAAGAATGGAGAGAACAGAGCGAAATGGCGACGTGCTACTGGAGCCCTATGTTCCACTGGGAACTAATAATAATAATAATAATAATAATAATAATAATAATAATAATAATAATAATAATAATAATAATATAGATGACGCAAGCTGGAAAATGCAAAACTGAGCCTTCTGTATTCGAGTTAAAATCTCGTTACCAACCAACCCGTCAAGGATGACACAACCCCTATGGTAACTGACGTCGTCGACAAATTCCACCACTTCACCCCTTATCCTTGAGCTGGGAGTAGTCGCACGACAGTCCTGGAGCACCCTCTTACATTCAACAGGTGACAAACGCATGCTAAATATATTCAAGTTTTTATACAACGCGTTCAGACGACCACACATATTGTCAGCATCCTAGCCTAGCAGAACAATAACATCTGTATAATCAAAGTCAACGAAATGACTTCCAGGGAGCAGATAAATCCCTATAAAGTCAAATGTGCACAGAGTCATATCCACATGTACGTCAATCACGAAGTTAATGACGAACTGTGATAGTGGACATCCATGGCGGACACCACTCGTTGTCGTCAGTCCACGTGACAAATCTCCATAAACCCTTATACGGCTGCATGAATTCGAATAGAGAGCTTCGATTGGTGTCACATATATGCTTTCTTGGTACTCTTTCCAGTTAGACACTGCAGCAACACTTCATGGTTGGCAGTCGAATGTCACCTTCAGGTCAAGAGATATGGCAGGTGTCGGCCACTGGCCATTGGGTATCCCTGTGTTACAGAAACCGTCAGAGGGTAAAAGTAAGGTCGATGCACTCTTGTCCAGGTTTCAAAGCTGTCCGGTTTTCTCGAAATTGCCATTCTCGAACTCCAGTTAATCATCGGATAACTATGGACATAAGGATCTTAGACACAATATTAGTCAAACTGATTCCTTCATGGTTGACACAAAAAGACTGCTCTCTCTTCTTATAGACTGGAATGATCAGTAAAGTGGACCAGTCTGACGGCACTACCTCTGATTCCCATACACTACCTAGTACATCTCTCACTTTAAGCAGCAATTTTCTACCTCCATCCCTAAAAACACCGAGTTCCAAACTGTCACACTCAGCTGCCTTGTATCATTTCACGTTCGATACATACTTCTCCACTTCAACGAGAGTTGGAGGACCGACATTCACATCCCATTCAGGATCGGCCTCGATTCTGAGTTCAAACTGGTACTCCAAAAAAGAGCCACAATCCTCGACCGATGGCTTAACAGCAATATGAACTACATGCCCTTTCGTTTCATGTCGGCAGACGATACGTGAAACAGTTAGCGCTGACTAGAAACAACCGACTGCCAAAACCAAATCCCAACGCACTATTCCCGGTGCCGGTTCTTTCTCATCGGATTATGCAGATACCTCAAAGATGCCTGAGCGATTATCTCACCTTTCCTCCTCGAGT